AAACGGTAGCAACTGAAGATCGAAGGAGTGAATACACCAGGCAAAAAGAGGTTACCTGCATGTCGGATCCGATGATTGCGATTTCTATCATAATCCAGAGCAGAATGCGAGCCGGTGGAGAATACTCCTGATAGCAGATTTCGGCCAAATGCTTTCCTGTTACAACTCCCAATCGAGCGGCCAGCCTTTGCATAAAAAGTCCCATCAGAGTGGCAAAGAATAAAAGCCACAGAAGCTGTCAATGTGATGAAAAAAGCAGGCTCATTGTAGAGGGTAGCAAGTGAACAAAAACACTTTCAGTGTCTACTTGCACGTGTGCATGGATGAGAGGACTCAGTGGGTCCGTGCGGTTTTATGACAGATCTTTAAAGAGATAATAAATGGCTTTCTTACCCGGTAGTTGGCAACTGCCCCACTCTGTAGATCCGACTCAATATTTCCGGGATCAAGGTAGGCGATGCTCATTAGGAAACCAGGACCAGTAAAAGCCCAAAGCGTGCGGAAATTGAAGCTTCGCCATACCTGCGTGAAAAAAAATGAATCGTATTGACAAAACTGTTTTACTGTTTCGACTGAAGCAGAAACGGCCCTTTTCTATGGACCGGAAATTATGCATAGTAAAACGAAATAGAGGGCATATTAACGTTTTGGCAAGATCTATTAAGTGGGGTAGGTAGGGGCTTCGACTCTCCTTTAAGTAGAAAGTACTTACAATACGAGAAGCAACCGAAAACGCATACGCCTTCTTGTATCCATTCGACAGCTAATCACGTGTTCTTCAAAGTATTCAAATAAGGGCTATATCTTTTTAAAGCGTATAATTGTGAGATATTTAAGACCGTGAAATGTTTGTCAAAATATCATTACATCTGCCCCTTTGAAGTATACAACATAATGAAAGTAGATGTTGTCTCGCACAAACTCGCAAGCGATTCAACTGAACATTATGTGGGTTATCAAATATCGCACGTAAAACACTTTTTTTAATCGAACGATTGGAATAATCCGCTCTGCAAGTCTTTTTTGCCCTCGTATGCGCATCTATCCTTTGTGTGTCAAATTTGCCCCATCGGGTATAGAGGAGTGCGGTTTATTCGACAAAATGGACGGCTTGTAGACAAGGTAGGGTAGTCGCATTTCATCACCTGATATACGCGTCACGTTACACAACAGTAACAACGCCCTCGTCAGCTGCAGTACTTATACTTGCTGACATTATAGTATATGTTCCAATGTCAGCGCTAATGCAAGTATAGTTTGAGACACGGAAAACTATGCACAGGTTCTGGGGGATCTGTGTGGAAGGCTTAGTTAGCTAGGAAAGGTCAGTGACATCGCTGACATACGAAAACAAGTCCAAACTACAGCATCCTGAGTTGAGCAAGTAAACGGTCCAACATCCAGTTCAAAAGAAAGCTACTGGCTGAGCACAGGAGATCCTTCGAGATCAGTAAGCCTACTCACTGGACGTTTGGGCAGCAGAGAAAGCTCACTCCAAAGTGACCTCGAAGTCCTAGTTACCAGACTCGCCGTCACTGCACACATGCGAAAGGTACGTGCTGGTGACGACTGACTTTCGTGGTAAGAAACAAGTGGTGCGCACAGTGCACTGTGGGAAGCCTACTAGAAACACAGCGTGGGAAGATGTTGGGCGAAAATAACCAAACAAAGTAATTGCAAAGATGGTCCCGAAGTCATCAAACGAATCTACTAGGAACTTAGGGTCCACTATCCAATAATGGTTTAACATAGCAATAATTCTTCAGTTACAAAGGTACTACACCCAATATTTACCTTCTGAAGGCAATACCAAACTCGTAAAAAAAGGTTAACGCTCACGTGAAAAGAAAAACGTCAGGAGGCTGTATAGTCTGATTCAGTTCAAGCCGGCATAAAAGTGACCAAGCGTGGGCCGGTCGAGATTGAACTCTCTGCTCGGTACTAGCCACGCTAAATCATGTTTCGGAAACAATATACACAGAGCGTCGATGTCAATAGAGCAACATTTATAACCGGAGAGTCACGAGGCCGTTGTATGTTGACGAACACATGTACCCGAAGAAATCAGTTCGCAAAAACCAGAAAGGTTTTTAGCATGTGAGGAATAAGACGAATTAGTGTATATCGGAAACGAAGGCAACTGCCAGTTTATTAGACGCCGGATGACGGTTACTTCCCGTTTGGGAAAGACCTACACAAGTGATTTTTCGGAAGGAGAGGGTGTTTTATACTTTTATTAGTTCGCCCTTAAACCCTACGCATTTGAATCTATTGGGGCTCTTCAAATGTATAAAGATGATAGGCAGGCTCTATCTATCTATCTTTATAAGAAAGATACTTGGTGGCTGACTGAAAAGTACCACCCAACCGGTCTCAGCAGTGTATCGCACAAAATAATAAAAGTTATCCATAAGAGTCTGTTCTTCTAGGTGAGCATAAGCCTAACCATGGTCTCCTGAAGAACAAACATGTACAACCAGACCAATAACAAAACTGCTGAAAAGGAATATAGTATGAAAAGGGGTGCGCCTGTATTTCTTAACCTCAGTTAAGTCTTCTGTGTGGACTATTACTTTTTTGTGACTGCGTCATTAAACTCGTGACCGGCTACGAAGGTGCGGGCAGCCACTTAAGATTACCCTTGTACTTGTAGTGGCTGCGATCATGACTGATCTAGCCGGCCTCAATGATAATCCGTACGGTGCTTTTCCACGCGCGACGATCCGTGGCTGCAGATCTAGACAATTCGAGCCATTATCTTTGCCAGCACCGGAGACCGAAT